CCCCCCCCCCCCCCCCCCCCCCCCCCTCCATTGTTTACCGCGAAACCCCCTTTTTTCGTAGGGTGAGGACGGGAACGAAGCCGAAAGGGAGGCCATCGACGCCATGATGGCAGCCGCCGCCGCAACGGCCGCCGCGCCCACCGAAGCAGCAGCGGCGGGATCTGCCATAGCAGCGGCGGGGGACGAGAGTGTGGGTGCGCCGCCGCACGGGAGGGCAAGAAGAAGAATGGCGAAGGAACGAAAGGGTTTCGGGGGTATGGACGGCGGCGAGGTTGACGATGACGGTGTGGATGTGGATGCTGTGATGGAGGCAGCAGCAGCCGCCGCCGCCGCTGCTTCGACGGTTTTGCCCCGGTTAGATCAGCGGGAGGTGCGATGCGGTTGGGCTTACAGACAGAGCGGCGTGTTTTTTTTTTCTCGTGAATCCGAGCGTGGGGTTGGATAGAGGGAACGCGGCCCCGGCTGTTGTTCTTTCTATGGTGTGGAGCAATTTTTCGGTGGAGGCTACACGGCTTGACCATGTTTCCCCGGTGTGAATTAACCCTCGTTCACAGCAGTACTGTACAAGCATGGAATAGTATATTTTCTCACACAAAGTTCAAGCGCGAAACGGCGCAGCAGCAGAACGAACACGACCTGGGCGTGTGTCCTTCCGTCTTTGTCCGTGCGCACGTCGTGCCGTTTCATTGATGTCGGCGTCCGTCGACATCATCGTGTCGTTTCCACGGTGTCCTCCGCGTCACCCCCTCCGTCGAGAAATAGCGATGAGACCTCTGCTGTGCCGTTTATTTTGGCGTGCTGCTCGTTGTTTTTGCTTTCGGCTTCTCTTTCATGGAAATCGAAACATCGACCACCACCCTTTGGTGTTTGCTCGTGTTTCGATGGAGATCAGGACGCTGGAATCGAGCAGCCGGGCGGCGGGGCGAGCCTCATCGGGGACGAGGCGTTGTTGCCGTCCAGCCGGCCTGGGGGGGCAGGGGGGGGTGCTGTGTCCTTGGAGGGCAGAGCGGTCGGCATCGATCTTGTGAGTGCCTATCTATTTTTTTTATTTTTTCTGATTCGTCCCTTGTTGTTTTTGTGTATCCCGGTTTATCTCTCCACCGTCCATGATGTAGGAAGTATGTGCTCTCTCTCTTTCGTTTCTTTGTTGTGGCTTTTACGTACCTTGCTTTGTGCGTGCGTGAATCCCGGTGTGTCTCTCTGCCGAGCACGATGCGAGCGCCTTCCTGCCACGCGCTCTCGCGCCGATTTGTTGTGGCTTTTGCATCCCGCGTTTTGTGTGCACGCGCGCGCGTGTGTGTAAATCCCGGTGTTTCTTTCCACCGTGCATGATGGTGCCACGCCATGATGGGCGCTTATTCGGCACATTTCACAAGGGCAGGGGGGGTGACGTCATTATCGTGATGTGTGGGTCAAGAGGTCCACGCCATATGGCGTGGACACTCCTTGGGCATGCTGAACGTGAGGGAGTGTCCACATTATTGGTCAAGAAAAAATCAATGGTGTCGAAAACTCCTCGCGTTCGGCATGCGCACGGATTTTCCGCACTACGGCGTGGACCTCTTGATCAGCGAGTGATGTTGATCAGAGAATGATCAAAGGTGATTGGTCACCTACTGAGCCTGTTGGGTAACCTATTTCGTTTGACATATGGTACAAGCTTCCATGGAAGTCGATGGGAGCTTGGGAGCTGTGCGATTGCTCTCCCCCCTTTCTTGTCCATTTTCCCGTCTTCCTTTCCGTCCTGCATGGACTCCTTTTCCTCGGCAATCACCTGCAGAATCATGCCGCGGCTTCTCTCTGTTCCACATCAGCTCACGACGTGATGCCGGGAGTAAGTGATCTATCTGGCAACGGCCTATTCATGCACCTCAACACTGACCAAAATCCCGCGTCGTGTTGATTACGGTCTTCACTGTTGTGGCCGCAACCGGACGCTAAGAGAGACGTTTGTACCTTCAACACATACACACGTCGGTCACCCGTTGTTGTTGCTGTTGTCGTAGTTGTACTCTCGTCTCTCATCGCACGCGGTATTCACGATTGGTTTGGTAAGGTTAACCTCCGACTTCGGGCAGGCCAATGAGCGGAGGACAACCTGCCTTAGCCGCTCGGGTTGGCCTGCAATATTCTCTGTGTCGATTGCCACCACTTGGGCTGCACGGTAGTTCCAACGGCCTTCGGCGTATCTAACTCGGGACACGTGCTTGCAGTTTCTCCGACAGCTTTTCCTTGCCAGCATGGCTGCACCCGCGATGTCATGTACAACAGTACAGCATGCACAGGGAAATCGGCCCTGTGGAATGCTCGGCCTGTCTACTTGCCTCCGAAACTACAACTTGTGTGCATATCATCTACCATTTTAGCATCAAACTTCCTGGTAGTTGTTGCCTTGAACGCCAGTTCGGTGGTACTCATGAGCAAGTTTTGCCATGCTTGGTGACCACCCTCCTGCTGTACCTCTTCTACGCTGTGCACGTGTGGCTCAAGAGGTCCACGCCGTGATATAGAAACCTCTTTGCGCATGCTTGGCGGGGGGAGGTGTTGCCACCATCGATCATTTTTTGTCATCATTGATATACAAATGATAATAAGTTTCGATCAATAGTGGAATACCACCTCCCGTCAAGCGTGCGCAAGGGGTTTCTGTATCATGGCGTGGAGCTCTTGCTCCACACGTGTGGTGCGTATAATGCAAGTGCAACAGGAGGGCGGCGGCCAAACGTGCCCAAAATGCTCGCGAGTACCGTGGACTGACAATCAAATAGGAAGTTCAAGCAATAGCGGGAATACCTTCTCACGTTTCGCATGCGCAAGGAGTTTCTGCGTCATGGCGTCGATCTTTTGGGCAGTGATTCATCAATGGTGGTTTGTCGCTGTTGAGGGCTCTTGTCGATCACTACTGTATTGATGCACACTGCGATATTTTGCATCCATGTGATCGACCACGTGTGATCAACCCTGTTGATGGCTGGATGATGTTCGGCATGTCTTGGGTGTGTGTGTGTGTTTGTCCCATCTATTCTGGCGCCGGTTTTACAGGCCTTTCGGCGTATATACCTGACGGATCAGCCGGGTTCACACAGGAGCAAAGTCATACCAGTGGACCTTTTTTCATTTTTTTTTATTCTTTTATTGGTTGAAGGGCGTGTTGAATATGGGATGCGCCTACCAACTTGCCTCCCTTTTATCCACCCGCTCTCCCGTCTGTTTTTGGTCTATTTGCTGTAACGTTTGCATCGCGTGTTTAGTGTGTGTATGTCTCTGGAGTGCATGATGATGCGACGCTGTGACGGGCGCTTTTTTTAGGAATTTTGCAGAAAGACAGGTGGGACGACGACTCATGTGTCATAAAGGTCTGGTGGCAGTACTTCCCCCCTCCGTTGGTTGTTTTTCGCGGCCGGACGGTGGGGGGATGTCACTGGCTGGTTGTCTCATTCGTCGCGTATTTCGTGCTTGCCCTTGTTAATGTTGGGGGTTTCGCTGCTGCTGCCGTTAGGAACGATGCCATGATTGCTCCTGAAGAAAAGTTGAGAAGATGTGTTCACGGGATTGTTGTTGGGTGCTTGCCCTCCCAGCTGCCAACCGACGACGTTCAAACAAGTTTGCCCTCGCCTTTTTCGGTGGGTGTCTCTTCCCGCCAGCCTCTTCCTCTTTGTATCTCTCCGTCTCTCTCTCTCTCTCGCTTGCATGCATATTTCTCCTTTCCCTCTCTGTCTCTTGCCCATAGACACTTGCTTTCCCTTTCCCGGTTGCGGGCCCCCCACGCCCGCGTTGCATACCGTATTTGTTGCTTGATAAGTTGTTCTTCCGTAGCCGTAGTGCTTACATCCTCTATCTATATGCAGTGGCGGCTACGATGTATGAGGAAGCATGGGTATGAGAGAAAGTCAGAATCGCTTGATCACGGCTGTGGCAAATACTTGTTGTACACAGCAGTACTATCGAGAACACGCCGGACACTCGGGGAACTATTTCGGCTTTTCCAACCCTCTCTTAACATCGTATTTAGCCGCAACCACCGCTGCTGTACATTGTGCTGCCTTCCCCACCGTAGGGCACAACGAACTCCGCGGTGGCGGTCATCGTCGACGGGCAGCCGGTCATGGTCCCCAACTCTCGCGGCAGCTTCACCACCCCTTCCGTCGTCAGCTTCAAGCTTCGAGGCGATAGCAGCAGCAGCAGCAGCAGCAGCAGCAGCAGCAGCAGCGGGTCGTCGTTGTCGTCGTCGTCGTCGTCCAAGCTCGACACGTCAGGCCAGCCGCAACGGCGGCGGCGGAATCCTAATAATCCCGGCGGTCCCGCCGCCGCCGCCGCCGCCGCCCCCAGGAGAAGAAGGCGGCCAACGACCGCTTCCTCGGACGACCCCGACTACGACTACGCGGCCACCGGCGGCGGCAGCAGCGAACAGGGCGAAGGAGGCGGTACCCCAAGGACACGAAGAGGGGCCGGTAAAACAAAGCGGCATGGCCGGCGGCGGCGGCGGCGGCGGCGGGGGGGGGGGGGGGGGGGGATTGTCCCGCATTTTTGTCGGGGAGGCGGCCGCGGCTAGGATAGCGACGGACCCGAAGAACACGTACTCTTCCGTGAAGCGGATCGTGGGGAGGACCAAGAAGGAGGCCAAGGAGGCCGGGGTGGGGCTGGGGGCTCTGAATGTGGACCAGGTGTGTTGTTGTTGCTGCTGTTGTTTGTGTTGTTGTTGATGGGGTTGGTTGTTGTCGGTGTTGTCGGTGTTGTTGTTTTTGTTGTTTTGTGGGTGTTATTGTTGTTGTTGTTGTTGTTGTGTTGGTGGTGCTTTGTGATGGTGTCATCGTCGTCGTCGTCATCGTTGTTGTTGTTGGCGGTGAGTGCATTGTAAGCATCCTGACTTGTTACAGAAAATATTTCCTTCGTGTTTTCCTCGGATCTGCCATTGTTGTTAAACTTATTCTCGCAGACAAGAGGTTGCCTTTCTTTCGACCAATTGGTTTTTTCTTGCCTTCCTTGTGGTCATTTTTTTTTTCGCGTATTTTGTTTTCGATTTTATCCCTGTCCGGGTTCTCATTTACGCCAACCCCACTAAATAACTCTACAGTATTTTTCTCTCGGTCGTCTCTATTTTCAATGTTCCCCCCCTCTCTACTTCTGTGCGTCATTGCGTTGTTTTCCCCTTCCCCCTGCCGCCGATTTGAGAAGAGCCAACAATACCTGAGGCTCAAGTGCCCGGCCATCGGGGCCGGAGCCACGATACCCCCGGAGGAACTTTCGGCCGAAATTCTGAGGTAAAAATATGCGAGAGATTCCCAAAAAAAAATTTGCAAGCAGGGGTAAGGATATCTTCCCACCATGTGCCATGTGCAAGACTGTCGGGGGCTTCCAGATGTTGGGGAGGTCTGCGTTGTCGAAGGTTCGCAGTCGAGACGCTAAATGGTGTTGCTAGCCTCGGGCGGCGGGTGGAAATTTTGTGCCGTGTTTGCTTGTTGAGCACTGCTGCGTTGAGCAGTTGCGTTGTGCCTCTGTTGAGAAGGCTGAGTGCTCTGTGAGGGGCAGACCGGATTGACCGTGTCCACCTTGGAGCAATTCGTGATAAGGGACGGTGAATCGTGTCAAGACGACTGCGATGGCTACGAAGGCAGCTACATCAATAGTGACAACAGCAGCACCGCCGCCACCTTCAACGACAACAACCGCAAAGACGACCACGACGAAATGTTCCCCCTCCTTTCGTACGCATTGAGACACGATGTTGGCTCCGATGTTGCCCACATCGGCACAACCACCGCCACCGACGAAGACGACGACAAGACCACCGCCTCTCCCTTTTCATGTTCATGGCGTCAGTGCATGCTTTTTTTCACTTTGTTCCACCTGTATGCTGGTTTGTTCTTGTACCCCCAAACGATACGATACCATCAACGACAACAATGACGACGGCGGCGATCAGAGCGCTGATCCGAGACGCGGAGCGGTTCATAGGTGGCGGGGTCGTCGTCAAGCGAGCCGTGGTTACGGTCCCCGCCTACTTCAACCCGGTGAGGTATCGTGTCTTGTTGTAGAAAAATGCCGTATCGATCGTCCACACGCAAGCAACCCGGTGGGATGTGCCGTGTCTTGTTCTAGACTACCTTGACATTGTCCACATAAGGTTGCGCAAGGGACGAGATGATTTTTTGCATGGGAGAACCAGAGGCGACGGGACGATCTGCTGGACAGCTATCGCCTGCACGTTGCAGTTGAATTTTGGCGGTGCAGTGAGTTCATGTTTGACTTTCACCTTCCCGGTACATTTGTCGTCATGCCTGTGGTTGAAGATTAAGATTTACGTCGGCACGTGTGTTGAGAATCACCTTGAAAATGGCATGTTTTTTGCGTACAAGTCCCCTATTTTTCGTGGAAGAAAAATAACAAATATACAATACTCTGTTGTTTCTGCAGACGCCCTTGGTAGGACTTTCTTTTGTTCGCTGACGAATATTTCAACGTGCTCTATTGAAATACATTCTTTTATGTACGAGATGCTTTCTTATGTGTCCCTCCAACCGTTTGACTGTTTTTGTAACGTCCGTCTTTTTTTCTTTTCTTTTCTTCGTTTTTCGTACAATAGATCCAGTGCGCGGCGACCGAACGCGCGGCGACATTGGCTGGGCTGGACAAGGTCAAGCTCATGCGGGAGCCGGAGGCCGCGGCCCTCGCTTACGGTCTTGACAAGGTATTTAATGCTGCTGCTGGCGGTGCTGTTGTTGTTTGTTGTTTGTTGTTGTTGTTGTTGTTGTTGTTTGCAAACGTTGTGTACGTCGTCGGCTACGGTCGATGCGCGGGTACAGTCAGGGTTAATCCAGCCCCAGGTATGGGTGCGAGAGCTTTCTTTTGCTGGTGGAACCAGTGTGTGCGGTACTGCCTGCATCTTTCGCTTCCAAGCTTCCAACAATCTAACCCATGCCATCCCTTGGAAGAAAATGATCCATCAGCCCGCCTGGTGCCGCTACCCGAAGTCGCTCCCCGCGCTGCAGTGTATTGTACATGTCAACCAAGCACGTTCTCACCGACGAATGCACAACACACATGGCGGTCCACCCCAAGTCTGCTGCTGCACATGATCAGGTTTCCAAAATGCCATTTATTTTTTTACGTGGACGGCGCGTACTCCTGCTGTGTTTTGGTACAAATTCGCAACGCTTATTGGCACCCCCCGTTCGGACGTTAACGCCTGCCATGGCGCGGTGTCAACAGGGCGGTGACGAGCTTATCCTGGTGTTCGATCTGGGCGGCGGCACGTTCGACGTGTCGGTGCTCGAGGTGGGCGGGGGCATCGCGGAAGTGATCGCCACCGCGGGGGATAGCCAGCTCGGGGGAGACGACTTCGACCAGGCGAGCGGGACTGAGGCGCCGTCTTGGGTGTTTGTCGTTCTTGTCGTCGTCGTCGTAATGATCATCGTGTTGCTGTTGCTGTTGCTTGTTGTCGTGCTGCTGCTACTGCTGCTGCTGCTGCTGCTGCTGTTGCAACTCTTGTTGCTGGGGATGCTGCTCAATACACAATACAATCGCGTTACCACCCGGAAGAAGAGCAACGATCGAATCTCGCCCCCCCTCCCCCCCGTTCACTACACACCAAGGAGAAAAACCAACCAACCCCTCCCTTTGGTGTTGCAGGATGTGGCAGGCATTCCTTGGAGGGTGTGCATCTCGGTGATGTGTGCGGTCATCATTTTAGAGGTTAAGATGCTCGATCTGCCCCTCCCCCCTACGCAATAGTCAATAGTCAACTATTCAACCAGCGTCGACCAAGTAATTGCTGGACGAGATCTACGAACCATGTTGATTCACGTTATTCGAGATGTCTCCCTACACAAGCCCCCGACCCCGCCCATGAAGGAATGGCCCTCATACTGTATTTTCCCAGTGCACTCTACCCCCCCCCCCCCCCCCCCC